AAGCATCAATGACTTGAATTGAATGCGAATATACATATAATTTTCACTCTTGTCTGATTAGTGTGCAGTAGCACTCCTGCTCTCACCGTCGTATCATACGGATCTAAAAGTCTTGTCTTTGTTTTATGATGGGTAATATAATATAGCCTAACTTTGTGCTTTGTACACCGTAATAGCACTTTAAGAAATCCAATCTTGAGAATCAATTACAGATTAAAGACACAACGGAAAATAAAGGTGGACAGCTTCACTAAAACGCTATTTAGAAGTAATTTTAGAGAACATGTTTTATGGTCAGTTAGTTACTGGTGCAAGGTTGTTAGATTTGTTTATCACGCAAAACCTTACGGTGAGGCATAGAATCTCCTTTTCCGAATAAAGCGTCTCTGTGGATGAAATAAAGAGCCTTTCACATTTGCTTAAAGGACCTAATAGAAACCAACGCCACGTGATGCGGCGCCCCCATACTGCAGCATGTGCCTTTCTGCGGAGTACACGCGGCTGTAAAGAGTAAATGTGTTGACTGTAATCTGTATGGAAAATTTTTATATAAAAATACAAGACTATCCGTGTAAAATTATACATTAAAACAGATCAGAAAATACATTGAAACTCTTTAAGTGCAATTTTTGTGGCTCTTAAAAGAGCCTTTGGTTCCGTTACTGGTGATGCAGCGGTGTATTTAAGCGCGCTCTCCGCGGATGCGGCGGGCCAGCTGGATGTCTTTGGGCATGATGGTGACCCTCTTGGCGTGGATGGCGCACAGGTTGGTGTCCTCAAACAGACCGACCAAATAAGCCTCGCTGGCCTCCTGCAGCGCCATGACAGCGGAGCTCTGGAAGCGCAGGTCCGTCTTGAAGTCCTGAGCGATTTCTCTCACCAGACGCTGGAAGGGCAGCTTGCGGATCAGCAGCTCGGTGGACTTCTGATAGCGGCGGATCTCTCGCAGAGCCACGGTCCCGGGCCTGTAGCGATGGGGCTTCTTGACGCCGCCGGTGGCTGGGGCGCTCTTCCGGGCGGCTTTAGTAGCGAGCTGCTTCCTCGGGGCTTTACCGCCGGTGGATTTACGAGCCGTCTGCTTGGTTCGTGCCATTACAGCAGTTTAATTTCTTCAAGCTACGAGCGTTGAATATAACGATTTTTGCAACACAGCTGCTTTTAAAGCATCTCAGGACGG